CTTTAACTGGTGAAGGACTCTTGACCCCAGTAACCAGTGAAGGACTCTTGATCCCAGTAACTGGAAAAGGACTGTTGATTCCAGAATTTTGTGAAGGACTCTTGATCCCAGTAACTGGTGGAGGACTCATGATTCCAGTAACCGGTGAAGGACTCTCGATCCCAGTAACTGGTGAAGGACTCTTGATCCCAGTAACTGGTGAAGGACTCTTGATCCCAGCAACCAGTGAAGGACTCTTGATCCCAGTAACTGTTGAAGGACTCATCCCAGTAACAGGAGAAAGACTCTTGATCCCAGTAACCGGAGAAGGACTCTTGATCCCAGTAACTGGCGAAGGACTCTTGATTCCAGTAACTGTTGAAGGACTCTTGATCCCAGTAACTGGTGAAGGACTCTTGATCCCAGTAACTGTTGAAGGACTCATCCCAGTAACCGGAGAAGGACTCTTGATCCCAGTAACTGGTGAAGGACTCTTGATTCCAGTAACTGTTGAAGGACTCTTGATCCCAGTAACCAGTGAAGGACTCTTGATCCCAGTAACTGGTATAGGACTGTTGATTCCAGAATTTTGTGAAGGACTCTTGATCCCAGTAACTGGTGGAGGACTCATGATTCCAGTAACCGGTGAAGGACTCTTGATCCCAGTAACTGGTGAAGGACTCTTGATCCCAGCAACCAGTGAAGGACTCTTGATCCCAGTAACTGTTGAAGGACTCATCCCAGTAACAGGAGAAAGACTCTTGATCCCAGTAACCGGAGGACTCTTGATCCCAGTAACTGGTGAAGGACTCTTGATTCCAGTAACTGTTGAAGGACTCTTGATCCCAGTAACTGGTGAAGGACTCTTGATCCCAGTAACTGTTGAAGGACTCATCCCAGTAACCGGAGGATTCTTGATCCCAGTAACTGGTGAAGGACTCTTGATTCCAGTAACTGTTGAAGGACTCTTGATCCCAGTAACTGGTGAAGGACTCTTGATCCCCGTAACTGGTGAAGGACTCTTGATCCCAGTAACTGGTGAAGGACTCTTGATCCCAGTAACTGTTGAAGGACTCATCCCAGTAACCGGAGGATTCTTGATCCCAGTAACTGGTGAAGGACTCTTGATTCCAGTAACTGTTGAAGGACTCTTGATCCCAGTAACTGGTGAAGGACTCTTGATCCCCGTAACTGGTGAAGGACTCTTGATCCCAGTAACTGGTGAAGGACTCTTGATCCCAGTAACTGGTGAAGGACTCTTGATCCCAGTAACTGGTGAAGGACTCTTGATCCCAGCAACCAGTGAAGGACTCTTGATCCCAGTAACTGTTGAAGGACTCATCCCAGTAACAGGAGAAAGACTCTTGATCCCAGTAACCGGAGAAGGACTCTTGATCCCAGTAACTGGTGAAGGACTCTTGATTCCAGTAACTGTTGAAGGACTCTTGATCCCAGTAACTGGTGAAGGACTCTTGATCCCAGTAACTGTTGAAGGACTCATCCCAGTAACCGGAGAAGGACTCTTGATCCCAGTAACTGGTGGAGGACTCTTGATCCCAGTAACTGGTGAAGGACTCTTGATCCCAGTAACTGGTGAAGGACTCTTGATTCCAGTAACTGTTGAAGGACTCTTGATCCCAGTAAACTGGTGAAGGACTCTTGATCCCAGTAACTGTTGAAGGCTCATCCCAGTAACCGGAGAAGGACTCTTGATCCCAGTAACTGGTGGAGGACTCTTGATCCCAGTAACTGGTGAAGGACTCTTGATTCCAGTAACTGTTGAAGGACTCTTGATCCCAGTAACTGGTGAAGGACTCTTGATCCCAGTAACTGTTGAAGGACTCATCCCAGTAACCGGAGAAGGACTCTTGATCCCAGTAACTGGTGGAGGACTCTTGATCCCAGTAACTGGTGAAGGACTCTTGATCCCAGTAACTGGTGAAGGACTCTTGATCCCAGCAACCAGTGAAGGACTTTTGATCCCAGTAACCGGAGAAGGACTCTTGATCCCAGTAACTGTTGAAGGACTCTTGATCCCAGTAACTGGTGAAGGACTCTTGATCCCCGTAACTGGTGAAGGACTCTTGATCCCAGTAACTGGTGAAGGACTCTTGATCCCAGTAACTGGTGAAGGACTCTTGATCCCAGTAACTGGTGAAGGACTCTTGATCCCAGTAACTGGTGAAGGACTTACTTGATCCCAGTAAACTGGTGAAGGACTCTTGATCCCAGTAACTGGTGAAGGACTCTTGATCCCAGTAACTGGTGAAGGACTCTTGATCCCAGTTATCGTTGCCCAATAAACCGTTCAAAAAACTGAAAGGATCTCTGGCGTGCCTCCCCGGCAGTCGAACCCTGGCACTTTGTGACGTGATGGTCATGTCATAATTGTGATAATGTTGGTAGAATTACCGACAATATGTAAAGTAAAAGGACACATGTACAACTAATGTGACATTTTATTGTGGCAACGTTTCGCTCTCCAGGAGCTTTGACAAAGCTCCTGGAGAGCGAAACGTTGCCACAATAAAATGTCACAATAGTTGCACTTGTGTCCTTTTACTTTACATGTCATCATTGTGACATGATGGGTCATGTCATCACTGTGACATGGTAGTCTTGTCATCATCGTGACATGATAGTCTTGTCATCACTGTGACATGATAGTCTTGTCATCATTGTGACATGATAGTCTTGTCATCACTGTGACATGATAGTCTTGTCATCATTGTGACATGATAGTCTTGTCATCACTGTGACATGATAGTCTTGTCATCATCGTGACATGATAGTCTTGTCATCACTGTGACATGATAGTCTTGTCATCACTGTGACATGATGGGTCTTGTCATCACTGTGACATGATAGTCTTGTCATCACTGTGACATGATGGGTTTGTCATCACTGTGACATGATAGTCTTGTCTCACTGTGACATGATAGTCTTGTCATCACTATGACATGATAGTCTTGTCATCACTGTGACATGATAGTCTTGTCATCACTGTGACATGATGGGTCTTGTCATCACTGTGACATGATAGTCTTGTCATCACTGTGACATGATATGTTTTGTCATCACTGTGACATGATAGTCTTGTCATCACTGTGACATGATAGTCTTGTCATCACTGTGACATGATGGGTCTTGTCATCACTGTGACATGATAGTCTTGTCATCACTGTGACATGATAGTCTTGTCATCACTGTGACATGATAGTCTTGTCATCACTGTGACATGATAGTCTTGTCATCACTGTGACATGATGGGTCTTGTCATCACTGTGACATGATAGTCTTGTCATCACTGTGACATGATAGTCTTGTCATCACTGTGACATGATAGTCTTGTCATCACTGTGACATGATGGGTCTTGTCATCACTGTGACATGATAGTCTTGTCATCACTGTGACATGATGGGTCTTGTCATCACTGTGACATGATGGGTCTTGTCATCACTGTGACATGATAGTCTTGTCATCACTGTGACATGATGGGTCTTGTCATCACTGTGACATGATAGTCTTGTCATCACTGTGACATGATGGGTCTTGTCATCACTGTGACATGATAGTCTTGTCATCATTGCGACATGATGGGTCTTGTCATCACTGTGACATGATAGTCTTGTCATCACTGTGACATGATAGTCTTGTCATCACTGTGACATGATGGGTCTTGTCATCACTGTGACATGATAGTCTTGTCATCACTGTGACATGATGGGTCTTGTCATCACTGTGACATGATGTCTTGTCATCACTGTGACATGATAGTCTTGTCATCACTGTGACATGATAGTCTTGTCATCACTGTGACATGATAGTCTTGTCATCACTGTGACATGATAGTCTTGTCATCACTGTGACATGATAGTCTTGTCATCACTGTGACATGATGGGTCTTGTCATCACTGTGACATGATAGTCTTGTCATCACTGTGACATGATAGTCTTGTCATCACTGTGACATGATAGTCTTGTCATCACTGTGACATGATAGTCTTGTCATCACTGTGACATGATAGTCTTGTCATCACTGTGACATGATAGTCTTGTCATCACTGTGACATGATAGTCTTGTCCATCACTGTGACATGATAGTCTTGTCATCACTGTGACATGATAGTCTGTCATCACTGTGACATGATAGTCTTGTCATCACTGTGACATGATAGTTGTCATCATTGTGACATATAGTCTTGTCATCATTGGAAAATGATAGTCTTGTACATCATTGTGACATGATGGGTCTTGTCATCCACTGTGACATGATAGTCTGTCATCATTGTGACATGATGGGTCTTGTCATCACTGTGACATGATAGTCTTGTCATCATTGTGACATGATGGGTCTTGTCATCACTGTGACATGATAGTCTTGTCATCATTGTGACATGATAGTCTTGTCATCACTGTGACATGATAGTCTTGTCATCATTGTGACATGATAGTCTTGTCATCATTGTGACATGATAGTCTTGTCATCATTGTGACATGATAGTCTTGTCGTCATTGTGACATGATAGTCTTGTCGTCATTGTGACATGGTGGGTCTTGTCATCTTGTGACACGATGAGTTGTCTTCACTGTGACATGATGGTCATGTCATTATGACATGGTCATGTCATCATTGACATCATAACATGATCCAATATTATTTTTATTATTATTATTATTATTATTATTATTATTAGTTCTTCTCTACTGTGTGCCTTACAGTTGTTCTACAAGACTGTGTTCTTCACTACTGTGTGCCTTACAGTTGTGTTCTACAAGACTGTGTTCTTCACTACTGTGTGCCTTACAGTTGTGTTCTACAAGACTGTGTTCTTCACTACTGTGTGCCTTACAGTTGTGTTCTACAAGACTGTGTTCTTCACTACTGTGTGCCTTACAGTTGTTCTACAAGACTGTGGGCTACATGACCATCTGCTACAAGAGCGTACTGGCACTAGATGTATCTTAATAACCCAGGGGCACCCAGACATCCTAGGGATGTCTGGGTGCCCCTGGGTTATTAAGAAAATGTTAATTCCACAAACGGCGTGTAAGCAGAGTGTATGAGAGAGCTAGAGTTATACACACCTATATTGATGACGGCATGGTTGGTGAGTTCCCAGCAGGAGTGTAGCCGCAGTATTGAGAGCGTCGAGGTCTGTCGGGGACTGAAGAATGCTAGAGCGGCGTCCGTGACGTGGTAGGCCTGCAGGTTGAGTTCGTAGAGTGAGGGCAGGAGCTGAGCTATGGCACCCACCGCCTCGTCAGCCACGTTGATGCAGTCGGCCACAGAGAGGGAGACGATGCGGGGGTTGAGACATGCCCACAGCCCCGCCTCCGTCACGTCGTTGCAGCCCTGCAGTTCCAGTTGATACACACCGTTGAGGTGATCTAAGAGAGTTTCGAGACCCTTGTCAGAGATGTTAGAGCAGCGCAGGGCCACGGAGCGCAGGGCTTTGGTGTGGTTCACAGCGTAATTGGCCACCAGGTCCATCAAGTCCTCGTCGTTTGCACACATGAGCACTAGAGAGTCGAAGCCGCGTTTCTGCACTGACACGTAGAAGCGACGACGCATGTCTGTAGTGAGCTCCACGTTACTGTGACGCATCTCCCTGCAGTTAAGGACGGGTCTGATGCCGTGCCAGAACCTGGGCTGGTACAGCACAGTGCGCCACCTCAGGCACACCTGCGCCAGCACAATCCTTTCGATTGGGGAAAAGTACATGAAAAATCTAGCGAGGAAGGTTTCATCACGGATGAGTTCGTCCCAGGAGAGGAAGCGGTGGCCTCTGAGGAGGTGTGCAGGGGACCTGGAGGCCCTGAGAGGCCGCGGAGACCCGTGGTGACCGTTGTAAGGGCCCGAGGGGGTCCCTGGCGGGGGCATCCCGCCGTTTCTAACCTTCCCCAGCAGGAAACGACTGGGCTTCTCCGGGGGTATGGGCTTGTCCATCTTGGCCTTACCATTAACCAGTCCACTGGAGGCGACGCTGTTGCCACAGAGTACGTTGGCCACCTTCTCCATAACTCCTCCTCTCCTCACCGAGCCCATCCTGCCAGCGTCACCGCCGCTGCCGCCAGGACTCTCCCGCACCTCCCTCTCCCTGCTGCGGGAGCGAAGGCCAAGACCTGTGATACACTTCGACAACTCCACGCCCGCACGCTCCACCACCTCCTGGGCTGTTAGGGACATGGGCGGATCCAGTGCCGCCAATACACGCCCGCTCCCACAAGCCACCACTAGTGGTGTTTCACATCCATACCTGGGTGGCGCCGCCCGCGGGCCGCCCACACAACAGCAGCAGCTGCGAGCAGCGGGTAGGGTGGGTCAGCACTCACAGGTGTGAGGTGTGAGGAGCAGCTGGGGGAGGAGTGTGAGCACCATGACAGGGGTGAGGGCGTGTCAGCCCAGCCCAGAGGTCACCATGACAGGTGACACGGCTGCACGTACCACCAACACGTACACACGCACACGCACACAACACTTCCAGAGGGGCTGGAAACTGAGGCCGTGGTTGGCCAGGATGGCACAATGCTCAGAAGAGCGGGGGCATGCTGTGCTCAGCACCAGGTGGGACAGCCCTGGAAGGTACCAGAGGTCACTACCACCAGGTAAATAGAACTTCACAACACACGGGCGAGTTAGCGGGACACTAGCTAGCGCGCGTGCAGCTCCCTGCCCTGCTGCCTATCAACTGTCAGGCAGCAGCACCGGCACTCCTGCTGGTGCTGGCACGCGCCGCACACCACCCCCCGCTGCCGCACACACACACACACACACACA